AGGAATAAATAACCATGAGAGAAATGAACAAACATCAGAAAGAAAATGGACATGATAAAGAAATGTATGGACATGAGGAGAAATGACTATAGCCTCAATCGCACTGGATTAAATTTTGGGAATATGTAAACCGTCATCACGGTAAACATTTCTAGGGTAAATGTTACCGTCAATCGCACTTGGACTTTTCAACTCGGTTAGTTTTCCCGAGTAGTGTAAAATTAACTATTGAGGGCGGTACATTTTGACCCGTAACATGACCCATACTGATCTGTTTCTGTTCCTTCGACTGACTAGGCCAACATCATGAGAGCCTAGAATTTCTCCTCCCAATATTTCAGGCCTAGCGAGGCCTAAAAAATCAAGAAAAATGTCATTCCATGCCATACTACTATTTAAGGGAAAGTAACACGTTAGAAAATAATGGTTTGTTGTCAACTAGTCGAATAGTATCAATACAGCACAGTAGTATAAAATTTGTGCGAAAATCGAAATGTACACATCAATAAACCAAAACAATGAGAAGAAGCAGGTCAACTAATAGACCTTTCCAGAGTGTCAATCAAACTTAACAACTGACTAATCAGAACAGCGCTAGGAATGCGCGCGCGTCTTACAAACACATGTGTTGTCCCACAAACGCACGTGTTCGCGTATGTTTTAACACTACTGTCTTTGTGGGACCTTAGCAAAAATATCCAAGGGGCGGAGCTTAGCGGAAAGGTCGATTATACGCATGCGCCAGTGCATCACAGAGCGATAAAGGTCACCCAATGAACAATGAGGCTCAGGATTCGGTTAATTTAACCGACCTGTGGCTGTTCGCATTGGATTTTCCAGGTCGGTCAAAGTAGCTCGGTAGGAATTCCTGAGTAAATTTCACTCCCGAAAACTAACCAGCGGCGACAGTCAAGTTAACCGAGCGGGACTATCCACACTGGATTTTTTCGGTCAAACTTACCGACAAGACGGTTACTTTTACTGAAATAAATCCGTGTGATTGAGGCTTATGAGTGAGAGATGAAAAAGGAATAAATTACCATGAGAGAAATGAACAAACATCAGAAAGAAAATGGACATGAGACAGAAATGAATCCACACGGGGAGAAATGACTATGAGTGAGAGATGAAAAGTAATGAAACTCTCACAGAAAGAAAATGGACATGAGAGAAAAATGTATGGACGTCAGGAGGAACGACTATGAGTGAGAGAATTGATTGAATATTATGTCACAATAAATGAAATGAACATGAAATTGACACATTGAGAGTATAAAATAAACAGATATGAAAGCAATGAATGCAAAATAGAAATACTGTAAGAGAGAAATTGTTACTTGATATAGTTAGCCTTTTTATCTTCTTTCCAGTCTTTATTCAGCTGGTGTATTTTACATGCTACGTATCGTTGCTCTTCAAGGTCGAATCCTTTGTGAACCTCGCTGAACCCCCCTTTGCCAAGCAGCTTCAGGAGAAGGTAACGTTTATGTAGCACTGGATTATCCTTGAAGCGGGACAGGTCTTCATTATGTATTCGTTTTAATTCACGTATATGCAAATTACGGCTACGTTCGAGTTTTTCTAGTTCAACTTGTAAGTCAGCTTCCTCCTATAATCAAAAACAAAGATACAAATTTAAAGCCTTTTCATTTGCAAAGTGTGTACATATTAGACATTTTGTATATTTGCTAATACCAGACATTATAAATTACTGGTCGAAAGGTTGTAAGTAGGCTGGTATTTTTACGTAATTCTTTCACTATAGTGAACTCTAATGCTTGACCTAGACTGGCCTACAGGTTCTTTTATACGAAATAATCATAGTAAAATATGATCAATTTGATCTAGATTGACGTACTGTATACCAAAATTCTTTGTCAACCATATGTTGGACTAAATTTTTTTCTTTATAAATTTTTGTGGACATAGTACCTACTAAACAACTCACAACTTAAAATGCCCCACAATTGTTAGCGGTCAGTCCCCTGTTAAAAGACTTATCTCCTTTCCATGGGGAAAATCCTGGTGCCGCAGTATTTGTAAACTCCCCTGTAAGCCAAGGCAGCTTCACATTTCTTCAATGACTTGGGTGAGTTACTAAGCACATACATTAGAGATATTTACATTATTAAGCGCTCTACATGAAGCAGATTCTGCACAGTGTGTAGTACAAACATTACACAAAGAACATAATAGAATAAATGATTTTTGAAAATCACCTTCTTCAAGGCTTGCAGTCTGAGTTTCAGTATCTCATCCTGTTCATAGTATGCTTGTGCAGAAAGCTGAGGGACTGAGTTGGCTTTGGCATTGGATTGTGCCCCCTGTAGGTGTGGCTTCCGTTTGGTCAACAGTTTCTTTTGTCTGTCTATTTCATCTCTTTCTTGAGCTAGCCTTTCTTGTTGCCTGCAAATAAAAATAAATGCAGTGTAGGTTTAGCAGTTCATTAGTGTACACAGCACCTTCATGAACATTTGTTAAGGTGCACTCCAACCCTAGCTTTAAGGAGAGGAAAATCTGATTTATTCCATGTAAAATACACCCTTTGAATATTTAAAATACAAATATATTTATTGTCCGAAAAATGGAAATAACAAAGCTCATGGCTGGCAGTACAATACAATATCAAATTATCTTAAATACTTTAGATTGTAATCTTGTATGCCAGCTGGGTAGAAAGAGTACTTGCAACCATCCGTGCGCATATTCACCATCTTCATTCTACCACTCCTAACAATAACGGTGCCTATAATGTCGGCATTGAGCGGAATGTTTGTATCCTTCAATATAGTCTGAAACACCTTTGCAAACCGTTAGTGGTAGAATGAATCAAGTTTCTGCACACACGGACCAATTAAAGCAATTGGTATCATGGCCTACCTAAAAATATCTGTGAAAGCATATCCGTCTTTCCAACTTTCTACAAACTGTGCACCTTGCCGTTGAGTGTTGAATTGGCCTAGTTTCAATCGATTTTCCATGCTGGCTTTACGTATTAACTTTTTCTCCTGTTGTGATTTCTCTAGTAGCAGGCTCTTGTTCATTGCTAAGCATTTGGCTAACTGTTCACTTTGTTTCTGCAGCTGATTCTGTGTCTCCTTAACTTTCTGTAAAACAAATTGTTCATGAGATAAATAAGGGCACATAGAAATGATAATGATGATCATCAATCTATGAAACATGTGTACCATATTGCAATACAAAAAACAACTTGAAATATGCGGGATGTGACTACACTTCTTCTTCCGTTAAGTTCCCGCCTTCATCTTGTTGAAGATTCTACAATTGCCTGGTGGTGATTGGACAGTACACCGGGACACAATCCCCTACTTTTTTTTCTTAACATGCACATGTTCCATACTGCACACAGGACCAATGGCTTAAACATATCACCTGAAAGATGGTGCACTTTTGAAACTTGCATTTCAGGCCTCCAGCGAAAATACAAAGAGAGCACCGATGGGAATTGAACCGATGACCAAGAGATCATCCATGGTTCAGCGATAACTCAGTCGCTACCACAAGTTTAACCAACTGAGCTGAGCTGCTCTCAAGCAGAACTCATTAAAGTGAAATATACTTCAGCAAATCTTTTAACTTTCAAAACAATACCCTGTAATGCTAGTACTTGAAAACAATTATTACTCACTGCATTTAGTGTCTCCAACATTACATCTTTTTCTTCTAAACAACTCGTAGCTTTCTTTTCTAGATTTTCTATTCCTTCCATTGTAAGACTTGTCTGTAATTATAATTAAACAATTAAAAAATCTACTAGATTTTATACAGCTATAAAATAACCAAAGCCATGTAAAACACTAGCTTTAATGCTTACAAATACCAAACT